CCGGCGCGGGGACGGGGTCAAACCCCCCCCCTGACATCCCCCCCAAAAAGGATCCCCCCTTTCCAGCCCCATCGGGGTGCTGACACCGGTTTGGGGATGGGGTTAAGCCCCCTCACTGCACAGCTCCCCCCCCATGATACAGGGATGGGGTTAAGCCCCCCTCCCCATAGCCCCAAAGGCAGTGCCCCATTTCGGGGTGCCCCATTTCGGGGCCGGGGGAGGAGCTGTCCCTGCCTGGGGTGACCCTTCGCCACCCCTCCAGCCCCACTGGGGTCATCCGAGGGGGATGCGGGGTGACCCTCCCCTCCCCAGCTCTCCCGGGGGACGCTGTCACCTCGGCTGGGGACAGGGCTTAACCCCTTCCTCGCTGGCCCCCCTGACCCCGTTACTGTCGCCCTGGGGGGGTTGTGTGTGTGTGTTACCCACTTGCTCAGCGCCCAGTTCAGCCCCACTGGGAGACACTGGTACCCCAACGGGGGGTTAACCCCTCCCTGGCCACACCTGGGCACGTTAGTGCCCCCGCAGCCAGAGGGGAAAGAGGGGTTAACCCCCACCTCACCGCCCTCTCAGCCCCAGAGCTGCACTACAGCCCCGTGGGGGGGTTTAACCCCTTCCTCCCAGCCCCACTAGGACGGACAGCGGGATTAACCCCTTCCTGCCAGCCCCTGGAGACCTGCGGGGAATACGCTGTCACCACGCAGCTAACCGGGACGCACAGCCCCACCAGGCAGCCCTGTCACCCCACGGGGACAGCGGGGCTAGCCGCCAGCCTCCGACCCCCACCCACAAAGGGGCAGAGGGGCTAACCCTCCCTTCCCAGCCCCACAAGGACACCATGTCTACCCCACGGGGCGGGGTGACAGACCCCACAGGGACACCACGTCACCCCACGGGGCGGTGGGACTGACCCCACAGGGACACCACGTCACGGCACGGGGACTGACCCCACAGGGACACCATGTCACCCCACGGGCACGGGGACTGACTCCCGGCCCCACAGGGGCACTCCGTCACCCCATGGGCCAGGGGGTCTGAGCCCACAGGGACACCACGTCAACCCACGGGCACGGGGACTGACCCCATGGGGACACCATGTCTACCCCACGGGGCTGGGGGACTCACCCCACAGGGACACCACGTCAACCCACGGGCACGGTGACTGACCCCCGGCCCCACAGGGACGCCCCGTCACCCCACGGGGCGGGGGGACAGACCCCACGGGGACACCCT